ATTGTTATTTATTCTTAATAACAATAAATAATATTAATTACTATTGTATTTTTTTTCTTTGACTTATTCATTATAAAACTTAAGAATAAGAAATATTCTATAATAAAATTAGTTTATGTTATTAACAATAAATAACAACAATTAATAATCTTATTAAGTTTTAGATTGTCGGTATTTCAATTGTCGGGATTTCGATTGTCGGGATTATGGTAGTTGGGATTTTGACATAGTCGGGATTTCGAACGTCGTTATTTCGATACACTCGGGATTTCGAACATCGGGATTTCGATAGACGGGATTTCGGTTGTCGGGCTTGCGATTACCACCAGTTTCTATGTACGTCAAGTTGTTAACATTATCTGAAACCAAAATATTATTGAAATATGTATATATATATGGGCAATCTGTGTCTTTAGCAATACCTCGCATAGTACGGGTAATAGTTTCCTCCAATATCACGCTTTGAAACCGGACTAAATTAAAAATAAACCGCACAAAAAGATACTTAAATGTATAAAGGGAAAACCCGACCATCATTTATTTTACTCAATTAAAATTAAGTTTGTTTTGAAATGTTTAAACCGTACAATAGTAAATTTCTGCATTTAATATAGTGTGTAACCTACTACATGGAATTTACTATCGCCTAAGTCTTCGAATGGACTAGGTGCTAATTCGTATTATAATTGAAACGCCTGCATGGTTACCAAGGTTTCACCTGCTTTGCTATCAACAGTTTGTCTTTCTGGTTAGAGCCGTCATCGTAATCATCGATTTCGTTTCTTCCAGCACCTCATAAGCCTAATGAATGACCATTAAAGACCTCAAATATAGTTTGTATTTGTAGTATTAACATTATGAAACAATGACAACAATGTTACATTTATGAATATAAGACGAGATCAAGTTTTGAAACTAGATTTTACGAATTGTATAAACACAACGAAATTGTTGTACAAAGTAACCTGTACAAGTATATCCGCAACATGGTAGAAACAATGCACATTCAGTACACATGATACTCGAATAATTACTTGGCAAGTAATGCGTATTCATGATAGCAACATAGTAATATATGACCTACTTCATAAAACGATTTATGTCAATGATATAACTGAGTATAAGAGATATTTGAAGGTAATATGTAATTTTTAAAAGCCGTATCATACTTCATTTTAAAATTTAATTATAGCCTTTTAAGTATAAATACAATAGATTGAAATACATCTGTTTCAGTACATTATATGATAATGATTATGAATATGATTTTTAAAATTCTGGAAACTGTCCAGAAAAGTAGTAGTGAATCTAATAGTACTAATTTCACAATAACGCCGCCGCTGCGAAATAACGCTTATTAATTGTTGATTTTACACTTATATAGAACTAAACCCTGTAGTTACCTCACTGTAAATATGGGTTCATTTTACGCCGATTCGATTTGCGACGGCTTTTGTAGAAACGGAACTGCGGCGTAAAACGACGGCTACCTGTATTAGTGAAAAAATGTAGAGAAAGATGTAAAATTGACCTTCAAAGGTATTTGTCAAATTTAACTGTCACTTTTGGATGGTTGGCTCCATATGTTTTTATTATTTATAATTATTAAGCGTTAGAAGACAAATTCAAACTAAATATATGATTACATTAACTGGAGTTTTCCGTTTCATTGTACTTATGTTTGAGTAGGACTGCAATAAAGATAAAGGTTTTATCGAGGTACCGAGAAAATAATGGCTCCTCGAATAATAATTGTTAATGCACAAGTTGTTTGCTTTTGCTAGATAAAGAAAGGTAAATAGGATGATGCGGGTGGGAGAAAGATTTGTCGTCCGGACCAAAAATATATAAATACGTGGATCAAAGTAAACAGAAACTAAATTAAATACACGTTAATTGTGTGTTTGAGCGTTAGTATTTAGTCGAAGCCTCTATATAACAGGATGAAGCGCACTCGAATTGTCGCCATTGTAAAACAATAGCTCGACAAGTGAATTTAAATGCTGGAAGGTTATGTAAATACACGATAAAATGCGCGCCTTTTGGCCCGTATCACAACCTACTTTACATAATATATAAAATTTAATGATTAAAAACAGAAGGAATTCTCGTTGCGTGAGTACGTAAGTAAACGCTTCTAACATATTACTTTTATTTATTATTTTTTAAAAATATTGTTGGTATTGTTGCTTGTTTTCTAGAACGCGGCAGGACTGTTTCCAATTAGTTCTTGGGGTCAGGTAAATACATTCATTATGCGGGCATGACGAACCATTATTACATCTTCAATATTGGTAAACAATAAGTAGGTGAGAGTCGTTTAATTCTGTACCATGTTCAGTGTAGAATGCTAATCGGCTGTTTAACTCCGACCACAACTTCCATTGATGGAGCCTCTTTTTGCGTCTCGTCCACGGAGTCTTCATACAAATTTGAAAATAAAGAGAGCTATCCGTCGACAGTACAGGTTACATTCACTGTCATGGAATTGCTCTCTTTATGATCTAATTAATATACATCGTGGGATTGATTTTTTTTAAATATGCTTAATTTGTAACACGAATTATTTTATATTTTAAATAAAGGTTTAATAATAATGTTTTTATACCACCTACCATTATAATACTTCGCATAGTCCGGATAATTCGATTCCACCAATACCCCGGACTGTTTAACTCTTTGAGTAGTACACACAATGTACCATCTTTTGAACATGCCTAGTAGTGCATTATTATAATTTCCTATAGAATGTATAGGACAGAGGAATTACCCTTTAATATTTGGTATGTCAAAGGATAAATTTTGATACTCCATACCATCCGAGGTTGATTCAGTTGGCGAAGATTATTCAATTGTCTAAAAAATTATTGGGTCTAGGAATTTCTGACCCTTCAAATGGTTAAAACAGGATTAATCAAGAAAATGGATGTATTCAAAACATAAATCGCACAAAAAGAGTCTTTATAACAGAATTTTAACCGGACAATAGTGAATCCGGACTGATCGAAGCCGCACTATGCGAGGTATTACTTAAGTTCTTTTAAATTGTTGTTGATATATAAAAATTGTAACTAAATAAATTGCACACATTGAAATAAACGTTTAAATAAAAATCAAACCAATTTCTTTGTAAATCACTTAAAATTAAAGATCGTCATTCTATGTCATTTAAGTAATTATTGTCAATACACACATTTATGTAACGCATTTAGTAAACTGTATACACGTGTTTTATGAAAGATAATTATTAAGAAGTATACTTCTTTATATTATTTTTTCGGTATGTGAACAAAATGCTTGTATCTTCTTTTTTATTTCAGATATTTATAGAACTCATAAATAATTAAGGATTAGAACGTTCTCAAATATGCAACAAAAATAATTGTAACAATGGGAATTCGCCGAATTTCGTGCGACTGGATTATCATACTTAGTCACTATTTGCATAATAATTAGAGCATTAAAAGTCAACGCCAATTAAGATTACGAAACTAATGTTAACATAAGAATCATGCCATCAGCTTATATGAGATAAGATAACATCGGAAAAGTTAATATAATTGGATAATATTTGAGTCCAAGAAAACTACGTTTTATAACGCATTATCCTGTTCCAAAGTCGCTTCATTCTTATTTTGTAATCTTTATAATTATATTTTTTACTATTTAAAATAATTTGATTGTTTTATTACTTTTAACTCTATCATTTGTGAAATATTATAATCTCTATAAACTATTATATTTTAATAACAATTTGAACCTATGAATGATCTGATTTAGATTTTAATTTTGTGCGACTTACAACAAATTTTATAAAAAAATATAGCTCAATTTGTGATATTTTCATTTAATAATTAAAGTAAAAAGTGAAATAATTATTATTGAAATTTTCTTTATCTAAGACTTTTATGCAAGAAATAATTGTTTAAAACAAATGACATATTTATAATGATGCATCTACTCTATGCCTCATATAATCAAGATAATATTATCCATTAGACAGTATGTCCTATAAGAACATTTCTTCTTCTTCCAGTAATGAGTTTCCTTCTGGAAACCCCTTCACATTTAGCTGGGATCTCTCGAGCTGGGTCCAGTCACATATCTATAGGATCATTTACTATCTACAATAATTAAGTAGAGTGGTGAGTGTCAGGTCGAAACCTCTGCAAAACCAGTAAATCCAGGGGGAAAAATTCCCACCTCGACTCTAAGAACATTTAGAGTCTGTTATTTTTTTTTGGAGCTCACGAACAAAATATTTTGAATACATATTTTGTTATTAAGTTGTAGAACGTCTGATGCCTATGGCCTACGACAACCTTAGTGCAGACCTGTAATCTGCACAGAGCTGATATTTCAAATTTCTTGGTGAACTTTAACTCTTGAAACCATGGTATCATTCCCACTCTCGGATTGCCCTCGAAATAATATTTTCCCTTGTTCTCTGACCTGATTTCATATAGGTACTGCCATTTTTCCCTTTCTTCTTTGTTAATTATTTCACTGATATCCGAGAACGGAACATGATTTGTAATAATTTAAATAATTTTACATATACATATTCTCAGATACAGTGGTACCTCACTTAACGAGTTCAATCCGTTCAAAAATTGCCGGATTTTTACTCGTATAGTGAAACATATTCAAAAATACACATATACTCAAGTTTTAAAAATGATAGCAGGCGCACAATCCGGGACTTCTCTTTTCATCGTCACTCGTTCTGCGAAACGTGTCATTTTTCTTACAATTCATTTTGCTTGTTCAGCGAAATGCTCGTTAAGCGAGGTATGATTGCAGTATTTGATTTTGTTTTTGAGCAATTTGATTTCACTCTATCAGTGCATTGCCAAAGCAAATGTAGTATGCAATAGCTTGAAATCTGTATGTATTTCAAATTCTTATCCAAACTGAAGGCTTTATTAAAATGCAACTCTGCGCCATCTATTATTCATGTTTATATGATAATCTAACTAGATTTTCAGAAAGTACAGAACTGTCAGAATATCAGAAACAAATATAACCTATAAAGGTGACAGTAGACAAAAGAAGTATTATTAATTACTAGAGATGTCTTCAAAACAAACGTAAATCTTATTTGTATGCTTTTACTGAATGTTCATTATTACCAATCAATGTTTCAGTCCCAAAATATCCTCAGGAGCTTTAGTATGTGGCGATAATAAAATGCATGGAGATATAACATTTGGAACAAACTCGATAGTTCATCCAAGCTGTACAATTAGTGCAGAATCTGGTCCAATAATCTTTGGTGATACATGTATAATTGAGGAACAGGCAAAGATTATTCACAGGTAATATGGAATTTAAATTGAATAATCAGTTTCTAATGAATGAATCATTCTGCAGGGTTCCTTTTTATCGGACCGATAAAAACCCAGTTATGTTCATTGGTTCGAATAATGTTTTTGAAATAGACTGCACTGTTGAAGCAGCCAAAATAGGTAATAACAATATCTTTGAACCAAAATGCTTTGTGGGTAACAAAGTGACTATCACTGATGGCTGTGTTATTGGTGCTGGATGTGTTTTAACTGATGAGCAAGTATTGCCAAAGAACACAATTGTGCATGGTAGTGGATGCAAGCAACGTGAAGCGCTAGATCAACCCAATGTGAGTTACAATCATAAAGCTTTTATATGCTCATATTATATGATGTCTTTCTTTTAGCCTCAATTTGGTTTGATGGATACTTTAATGAGGCTGTTGCCTAATTACCATCATATTAGAAAACCCATTAAGAAGCCTTGAATTATTTATATATTGTTACGATTTTTTCTTCATGCACATTTCATATTGAGAAAAATATACACTTAAGAATATAATATTTAAAAATAAGCTTTAATAATTTTCACATTAACTTAATAAAAAATGTTTTTTTTTTGTTAAATTGTTTATTTTTTTGATATGTTCTTATACATACAGACTATATACATGTATTTAAACGAAATGTTTCAGTTATTGATGGATATTCATATAGATTTCTGTAACAATAAGACCCATTTTGTTGATAATTTCAAAGTGGATATTATAACTATAAGACAAAACAAAATGATGGTTGAAGTAAATTCAAATATAAAAATTGGAAGAATTTTGTTTGCAGTAGCTGTTGTAAAGAAACCTCCACTCATCAACAAACCCCTTAAATTATCCTCTGGCAATTTAGAAAAACCTTGTAGAACGGCAATTATCCTAAAAATTCATTAATATTAATGTACTTGATAACTAAATCTTTCGAAATATGTTGAATTAATCCAATTACAGAAACTATTACCATATAATCTGCATCAAACTCATGACTGCATTTGTACTGTGCAAAGAGAAACATCGCTACAAAGATGATCCAGGAAATTAAAAACTATTTTTAAAATATTTTTTTCAAAACTTTTACGTATATACATTACGGTATAATCACATTGACGGTCTTTGATTGCTTCAAATTCTTTCCTATCAAAATTGAAATTACACTTATGAAGATATCACAGAAATCGATAATCGACTGAATAAACTGTGTAACAACTGTAAATCCATATATCTCTATTATTCGTAATATTTTCATTGTTTTTGACTAGCAAAATACTATGAAAATATCGTTAAACGGAAAATATTACAACTGCAGTATCATTCACTGCAACATCATATATATCTAGGTAGAAAAAAAAATGTTATGTTTATCGTTATTTTTAATTGTCAGTCATATTGTCGTCAATAATAAAAAAACTTGATATAATTTTATAAAATTCTGTTCAAAGTTGCAAAGCCTATTATAAAGACTGTCTTTTACAAAATTATTTTACGAGAATACTTCTTAAAGAACATTACGTTTCAGAATTGATATTTTTTCTATATTTTATATAAATATATTTAAAATTATTTACATTTTCTCGTGTCTGACAAAAAAAAAATATAATTGCATGAACAATCGATTATTTTTATTTACATTTAGTCGGCATACCAAACTACCTATTATGTAGCCGAGAACTTGTATGAAATTTGAAGAACACTGCTTTAGAATAAAAACATTCTTAATCTGCAGGAATGAACTATTTTTTATCTCGATTTGGTAAATTCTTTAGTTTTTTCAAATAAAAAATTTCTATGATTGCAATGATGTGCTCATATTTTTGAAATGTAGATGACATGCAGGGCCGGTTCGTCTATAGGGGCCACATGTGGGGTTGGAACCCACCTATATTTGTAGAACTAGTCCAATAATTGGAAAAACACTCTGCAATAGCTGTAAAACTAAATACCTCGTTTATTCCTAACATTCCCATTAATTTTGGAGATACTATGAAAATATCGGTAAAAGTAAAATTTAACAAGTGCAACATTGTATATAAGTAAAAAATAAATAATAATAATAATTGTTACGTCTATAAAAAAAAAACTTGTTTCATACTGTAGCCAATAAAAAAAATAACTTGACGTAATTTAATTAATTATATTCATATCTGTTAAAATATTTCCACTACTTTTGCATTCTCACTTCGTTACTGATCATTATTTCTTTCTCTTAAACTCTTATACTTCTTAAAAAAACAAAAACTTTTTGTATCTAATCATTTCCTCTCAAACATTCTTATTAATTACGTCTCTTAATCGATATTTTTTCTATATTTTTATTTTCTAGTCTTTCTTCCTCCTCTACTTTCGGCAACCCTAAGAACTGATTATGTTTATCTACTAATAATGTGGCGTTGTTCTTTTATTAAATTTTATTTATTATTGTTATTACATATCCTACAAAATTAAGTTCCGTGAACATTTCACGATTTACAAAGTGTTCCGTTGCAGGAAAAGTTTGGGAAACTCTGGTGTATAGGCTGTGAGCAATGGATACTAAATTGATTATTTTATTAAGTAATACTTCACATCACATATATTTCAGTTATCATTTTACATATCTTACATAATTATAAACAAATATTGTTGGATTAAGTATTGTCAAACTTGCAGCTGTTGGCATTCGATGCACTCGCTCATCGTTTGGTGATTATACGCCTCTATTTGTATGGTGCAGCTCACAACCTTCAATTTATCTTTCACTACCTCCGTTGCTCGATTTAACACAGTATCTCTATCACTAGCATCATCTGAAAAAATAAACCATTGATTAGATGAATCCGGTAATTTGAATATTTTGAATTGATATTATTACCAACGGCTAAATGTGCAGCCACGGCATCTTTTCCCGGCGCCAGGCTCCAGATGTGCAAGCTATGAACATGCCTAACACCCGGAATGTTGCTCAGCGCGTTCGACAGATCCCAGGAACCCCTGGGACTCGCCTCCGCCAACAACATCAGAGAGTCTTTGGCCACTTTAACCGTGGCACCTACAACTATCACAGAAAACAAAATTGTACATATAGGATCCGCGATTACGGCGTCAGGAAATATTTTGATCACGATGGCGGCTATCAATACGCCCACGCTTTGCAACAAATCCCCGATAACGTGGGCAGCGGCAGCCCGGATATTAAGATTCTCTTCGCCGTGACTATGGTTCGACTCGATTAGAGAGTCTCCGTGAGAATGGGAATGCACTTTGAAACAGAAACCATGCAGTACAGCTCCCATCCTAAAACATAGATATATTATACAAAAATCTAAATACAACAATAGCAAGATTACTTACACTATATTAACGACTAATCCCAACCCGGCTATGATTAACATCGTATCTGCATCTACCTTGTGGTCACGATGGATGATTCTTTCCAGGGCGAGTAGAGAGAACACCGCGGCCAAGACCCATACTATCAAAACACTACAGAAGCAATCCGTTAATTCATTTCCTATAGTGAAAAGCTATTTATTCAAAACTACCTAAGAAAAGCGCCAATAACCTCCACCCTGTTGTATCCGAACGTCATGGACTTTGTTGGCGGCCTCTTTCCAATCCATATTGAAATTATGGATACGAAGAAACCGATCAAATCGGAAAATAAATGAGCCGCGTCTGTCATGACTGCTAAACTACCAGCTAAGTAACCTCCTATTATTTCCATTACCTAAGAACAAAATTAATATATTATCAATTTATTATCTACAGGCAATTATAATAAGATATGAATCATTACAAAAAGCAAACAAATATTGTATTTTAATAGTAGAATTTGAAAAACTATATGAACATCAGAATAAGTTCTATTTTTTCATAGTATAATTTTTAATCCAGTTCTGTGTCTCCTTTAAATAAAAATGTACAAATGATAATGATATTTCTATGAGATGAAAACTAAATAATTGTATCATATCATCTACAAAAAATTAAACTTCATGAAGTATGATTTCTCTATGTAAAAAATGTGCGTCTTATGGTAGGAAATTCGTATATAAGCATCATCATCACGGACTAACTTATTTCAGATTACGTTCAGATCTAATTAAGTATAATATTAATCGAGATCCATTGATTTAAAATGTTTCATCAAATTTATAATGTACTATAACAAACACTTCGCATATACATTTATCTATTACAAAACTAGCAATTAACACTTCAAAATGAATACAATATTAATTAGTAGAAGCTTGATTACAAAGCGCAGTACAATAAAATTTGTTGTTTTTAAATAGTAAAAATAACTAGAAAATGTATAGGTTACTATGATTACATAAAGTAAAAAAAAGTTGTTTATTTGAAATTATAACTACAAACCGCTTTTGAATTGAAAACAAAAAAAGTAAATGAAGAAAGTGAAAATGTAACCGCGCGCTTGTGCAGATTCTTAAAAGCAAATTGAACCGTTTAAAATAAGAGTAAGTTCTCAAGGACATAGAAATCCATTTGCAGTTTAACTATATTGGGGGCAATCAATGTATTACTTTTGAGTGTAAATAGATCCCCAATTCATAGTAATCTCTTCATTATGTCATAGAAATCCATACGAGTAACAAAAACAGTACGTGCATAAAAGCTATTTTTTAAAACAATTAGTAAAGGTTTGAGAATAAGAAAGGCAAACAACGTGCGAGTACTTACCATGAAGAAAAGGCAAAGTGCAGAAACAATACATAAAGTTTTATATGCCACTTTATTATCATTTTCTGCGCTGAGCGAGTGACAATGAAAATCCTTAACCGATAAGTGTCCAAAACTATTGATCCTCTCCTGAAAAAGAAAAAAAAAGAGGTAATTATTATTGATATACTTTGATTTTATGCTTGCTGATATGATCGAAACCTTAATATGCACCGCAACATCTTTAACGCAACTATCAAAAGACCTTCTCTTGTACGCTGTGTTTATAGGAACTTTGAGCATCTTCGCAATAGGTGTAAACACAAGAGAAGTCTGTAAACAACTAATTTGATTTGAAAGGTGAAACCTAACTTACCAGCCCGCACTTACCGTATTTGCCCTAGTAGTTAGCGTTCATTACAATTACAGTTATTAAAAGATTCCATTGTATAATGTATCAAATAGTTATTTTGGAAAGAAAAATTTTTCACTTTCTCTGTTTCAATTTAGCGAAATTGATTGAATCTCAATTGACAACATTTAAAATAAACAAAATTGAATGAATTTTCAAACAAACAAAAATGATTCATGAAATAAGTATTTTGTCGTATTTGTAAATTGTGTGACCCAGAAAGCGTCAGAAGATAGATTTTTTTTTAAAGTTTACAACGTTCCTGCGCAATGTTTAACATTGGTAAATAGAAGATGTGCGATTGAATGTGATTTTATCTTCGGTTGATTGAACGATAGCTATAAAAAGATGCTTACACAGGCGTTGAAAATCTAAATCGACAACAGCAATGTTTGAATTATAAAAATAAAACTATTTATTTTCATATTACGTTATTTCTTGTATGGTCAATTACTCAATTAGAAATCTCAAGCAATATTTTGCGAAATCTTTAATAATGGTACGACTTGGCATGTATATGTCAAATAAATATTAATTAAACAAAATTAATGTTTCTTCAAGTTACTGTACAAATGTACATAACGAAACATGCAAAACATCTGCATAAACACGCATGTTTTTATGAATTATGGACTTCCCGTGATCGTCCGAGATAAATGTATGTCGTTTTACAACATTAATTTAAAAATACACGTGGTAGTAGTATGAATCTAATTAATTAAAAACTAATTAATTGAAACTAATTGTATATATTTACTATAAACCAAATTTATATCATTTACAAATCGTACAATATTCAATTTGTAGTAACACATCAAAAAATATATATTTACTAAGTTTAAATCGAAATTAATGTTGACTAGAAGTATACACAATTATATTTTATTGAAAGGAAAACAACACGATTAAACGTATTATCTGCAATTGAATATAGTTACGTAAATAGTTTAGGTTTATTAAATTTTTATGTTAAAAATACAACGTTTCTTACAACAGTCACAAAAAGTAAACAAAAATAAATACTTCTTGAAATATTATATTCTTATTTATTGACAATAAGATTTTAAGTAAATATATTTATTGTTGAGCAGAAAGACCTATGGTGAATATCCTCTAGGAGCAGTTCAATTTAGTTTTATTTTTGTTATTGTGTTAAGTTTATATTTTGGTAATTTGTTGCAATAAATATTATTATTACTTTATTGTTATAACGAGTAGATAATAGACTCTTATGCGGGTAATTATTTTTTTACGTAGTTAAGCAACGTGTGTCACAGTTTGCATTTGCATGGATGATTCAACTATGATTGCAAACAGCTCAAATAGAATAGCAAGTCAAAATACTAAACAATTACTGAATATAGAAAACTATATGAGCTTTTGATTGATATATTATTAATAGTTATTATAATTTGATATGATTTATTTACAAATTTATTCACAACTTAACATATAATGAAATTATATGATGATTGATTATTAACAAAATTATGAATGAAATTGACTTACATCGAAGAGTAGTGGAGAGTCTTCAGGAGAATCTAGCAAATCATTGCATTGAATATTTATTTTTGGCCAGTTTTTCGAATCCCTGCTATCTGCATTCAATGATGCCCTGCATTTGATGCATTTAGGATTAGTAGTATTGTTATCATCGAGCAAGAGATTTTCATCATCCGAATCAGGGAACCTGACATGGTCACAGTAGTAATCCATAATGTTGATTGCAAACAAAAAGTAAACCTAATACTTGTCCACATCAACAATAAACATAACCTTATGACCTCACAAGAGCCTTCCCCTGTGAAACCCAATCAATCAATGCCATAAGTGGATTAAAATTCAGCTCCTCTGTGTATGTTATCTATGCCCACCGATGAAACTTCATACTGCCACAATTCAATTTCAAATTTCCATTGCTTCCTTATGCTGACTGATCCTGCCCAACACTTGACACACTATTGTTGATAACAAACCACTCAACACAATGTTTGATAACTGAGTTATATGTAGAATGACCTGAACAGGATGTGAAAATATTGCTTATTTGCTTTTTTTTTCTTTTTTAGTACATTTTTTTTTCTAACACCGACTCGAAACTTATTCAATCAATGGGTCGCAATTATAACTGCCTGTAAAGAATTGACAAAGCATAGTGTATCCTAAGTAGTAGATGTAAAAGACCCCTACGACTAGCAAACAGTAGATCACTAAAGATAGACAGAAACAATCATTCATGACTGCACAACGAACACCGAACTTTCTTCCAATCAAATCGTAAATTTCTTTTTTGTTATTAAACGCAATTCAAACAACATTACCGGACTAACTGAGAAACTTAACATTAACCTTATCTTATAGATGACGCTGCTTCTAGGTATCTCATAAAAAATAATATACTTAATTGTAATATTGAAGCTTTATTCATATACATTTTGTTATTATTATATATATATATATATATATAATTAATATCATGAATCAGTCTTATATTATATCATGCAGTTTTATTTAAAATTTGTATAGGTGGTTGCCTATAATAAAGTGTAAGTTAGATTATTTTCTTATTTTTACATTTAAATTGTAGAAGTTGTTATTTCTATTATAATTAAATAAAACACTTTTCACTTGTTTTGCCTTTTTTTCTAAACAAATTGTATAAGAAGAGTTATTGTAAATTATTGTTAATTTTATCATCAAAACCTGTTAAAATCTAAAAATTATGTGAACATATTTATATTTTTTCATAAATATACCTAAAATCATTGATTAATTGTTTAATGAAATATATAGCATATTATATGACTCAAAGCAAATTTAAGTTCAAGTTGGACCTGAATAGGTAACAATCATAATTTAAAAACGTTTGAAAATCTGTAAGAAATATCGGAGAAATTACGAAATTAACAAAGCAAATTTAGTATTTTCATCCTTTAAGGATTGAATGTTGAAATGAATTGGTAAAAACTAAAGATGATAACTGAACAATGACATAAATAATTACAAAAAAAAATATGAAAGAAAAAGGACATGAATCACAGAAACGAGTTAAATTTTAATTAATTTGTGTAACATCTGTTTTACTTAATGTGAATATTAAAGACATAATAAAGTGACTAATTTTATTAAGTTGGGACATTTATAGAAGTTGAAATGATTAGAAAATAAGAGATGTAAAATAATGTCGTCTTAATTAAATTTTGAAAATATGTCGGTGATATTTAAGTGAAGAGATCGTATTAGTAAATGTTTTAATTAGGATATACGATACGGTTCTGTCGGCGATGCTACCGCCTTTGAAGGAAACGACTTAATGCGATGAATGAAAATTGGGCAGAAAATTATGAGCTTGTAATTTGAACGCGAAACGAAGGAGAAGAACAGCCAAAGAAGAAGAAAGAAAACATGTATTTTTTGAGTGATGAAGGAGACGGGAAATTGGATGGAATACTTTCTTCGTTCGGCCGAACAAAGGCGAGTAAAAAGGACGACAGGAAATAAATCCGGCTGCGACATTAGCACATTTGCCGCTAACTTGATTCTAATTTTAATTTGGTCTCCGGCATTATGGCACATTTAAGCTGTGGGAGCGCTCGTTCCCTTTTGTGTATGTGTGGCTGCATTATAAACTCACCCCCTCGAGTGTCATAAATTAGTCAGGGAGTAAATTTCTGTGTCAAATTATGCAAATGTGACGGCTCTGAGCAATCCCACTCAAGCTCTTTCTCGCTCTCCAGAAATAATCATCGCGCGCGAACCACCGACGAAGCCACCCCCTCAGTGTTCTCCCTCGAGCATCCATGCACCACCAACAACACTTAAGCAGCACGCAGAAATGTATACAAACAATTCAGTCTAATCATTGCGAAACTCATGCAATATGCATACATATTAATTTACACTTAGATTTTTTTTTACTAATTCATACTAACATTGTTAACATTTACTCATCTAAATAGTAGTAATTGTTGATTAAATTAGAATTCTTACTTTCAAAGCAGAATATTTATGTATTGAAAATAGTTACAGTTGTTGAATTTCCTTATTAATGGCATACACCAAACGTATAGAAAGTACAGAAATATTTTGCATATTGCTGCTTTAATTAGTCCGGATAATTAAAAATAAAACTAAATTTTAATTGAGAAAAATTATTATCTTTAAATATGATCGATTTTATTTCTTTTGTGCAGATTATGTATGTATTTAGTTTCTTGATTACTCTGGTTTAAAACATTCCTGCTTAACCTTTTATACGTACTATGTAAGGTAATGGTGTATTGCAGCGATCGGGAAACTTTTTAACCATTACCCCAAAATTCATTCTGAAAAGAAAACAATCAATATAACAATAATTACTTTAAAATTGGGACTTTT